TGCAATAAATAGAAAGAAAAGAAAATAGAAAGAAGAAAAAATAGAAAGAAGAGAAAATAGAAAGTACAAAAATAGAAAGAAAAAACTTTCTAAATCAATCCTTTCACAATCCTAGGAATATATACAATTCTATTTTCAGATCTGAACCAGTAACCCCACGTTTTCCAACAGTATCATTGTTAGTAATGACAATATCGTCGACATAATTAGGATGGTGACCTGAAAACCTTTCCTCTTAACAAAGTGGGTATGATCTTATTGTGTTTTATAACCAAACTGAACAAGAGCAGCTTGGAATCTATTAAAGCATGCTTATGGGGACTGCTTAAGGCCATAAAGAGACTTCTTCAATTTACACACCTTGCCCTATATTTCCTTACCATACATGCCCAGGGGAAGTGACATATAAACTTCTTCAGTTAGATCACCATTAAATATGGCATTCTTAACATCAAACTTATATAGGGTCTAGTCATAACTCACAACCAAAGATAAGAGAGCCCTCACACAAGTCATTTTTGCCATCGGAGAGAAGGTCTCCATATAATCTATTCTATATATTTGTGTATAACCCTTGGCAACCAAGTATGAGTGTTATACCTTTGAATCGTACCATCAACATGATAGTTGATGGTGTACACCCACTTACATTCCATTGGCTCCTTCCCAACAGGCAAATCTACAATGTCCCGGGTATTGTTCTTATGACGTGTTTCTATTTTATTCCTCATAGCATCCCTCCATTTTGATTTAGATATGGCTTTTGCTACAAACTTGGGGATTGGTTGATAGGAAATAGAAGCTAGGAAAGAATAGTAGGAAGGGGACAACAGTCTGTAAGAAAGGTGTTTCGATATGTAGTGAGCTATAAATTTCCTATTATCCATTCTCATAGCAATGGGTAGGTCAAGGCCTGAGAGGGGGGGGGGGTACTGGAGAAGATGGTGTAGGACCTATCCTTTCTTCAAGTATTGGAAGTTCTAGAGACTTAATTGAAGATGGGGGAATAACTTGTTCATGCCTTTGTCTTTGGTACTACTTCTGAACAATAGGATGAGTGGTGAAAATTAGGGGATGAGTAGCAGGAGGTGGAGTAGGAATAGGAGAACTTGGAGGAGGGGAAGACTTCACCAATGGAACAGAAGAAACTATAGAGGGCTCAAAACAAGATTCAATAGGAGTGTTTGGTCCACAGCCATTTGCCTAGGGACCATTGCCTGGTGCAATGGTAAAATCTCGTGTTGGCAAGCATGAGAATGCTGTTTCTAGTATGATAACAGCCACTTTGTGCAAAAACATGCCAAAGGTTGGGTCTTTATCCAGTCTACCCCTCCCAAGACCCCAGATAGCTTGCACCAACATTGGGTAATGACCTTTTTAATGACATTTTCCAAACTGCTAAATAGAATTTTTTCTCCTTATTTTCTCTTTTAAGTCTCTTCTTAACTTATTCAAAATATTCACTACCATGGCTGGATTAGTGAATAGGGATAAATGGTAGGTAGGCAGGCAGGTTTGATAAGGCAATTTGAAGTAAAGCTTACCTCATTTTGACTAGTAACCTTGTTTTCTTCTGACCAACTTCTGACTGGAGTCAGGTTTATCTTCTTTGTTCTTTCTCTCATTTCTCTTGTAGGGCATGTGCCCCTTTTCTTTCCTCACTCCTCTTTGTTGTATTTCTGAAGGTACTCTTTATTTAGGTAAGGTTGCTAGTTTTTGCTAGATATTCATGGTTGGATCTCCCAAAATTTATTGTTTCATAGCTTTGAGAAAGGGAATGGATTTCATATCATCCTGCTTTCATAGATGTTGCTGCTTTTATAGATCATTCTAGAAAGAAGTAATTTTGAATGGGCATATAATGCCTTCTTATCCTAATATACCTAGTTTCAGCTGGAAATGAGTCCTCAGAATGGAATTTGTCTGCATGTATTTGTAGAATATTATTCAAATCCCCCTGATGTATATTTGATTTCCTTTCTATAGGATTTATAAGCTTATGATTTCCCCTTTCCTTCCTCCCTCTTGCCACTTCTATTTTTGTTTTATTGTATTTTTTGTAGTGGTGGTAGGCTATTTTTTTTTGCCTGCATGATTTTATAAATGAATACCAATTGATTCAACAAGGTCCTAGTTTGTTTCTTTGTTTTTCTCTTCCTCCTTTATAAAACCACACTTTTGTAGTTGGAAAGTTTATTGAATTATTAATGCACATTATTTGTCTTGGATATTTACAGATCACTAAGATCTATTGCAATGTGGTCACATCATGGAGATGCTTCCACAAAGTTGAAGAAGGAAAAAGATGAGTTGATTGAGTCTAGTTCTCCAAGTTGTTTGGGTAACACTATTGAGAAACCTGGGTATGATTCCACCTTGGAGGGGGAGGAAGAGGAAGAGACACAGGTCAATGAGGATGAAGATGATCAATCTAATCGAAATACTTCAAAGCAGTTGGTGCTTTATGACCCTGAGGCCACTCCTACAGGTCAAATTCAACCATCTCATGAACCTGTTAGTTATCAACCTCCACCTTTGCCTACTTGTTCAACACGAAACCCACTTTCAAGAGCTTTGCCCTCTATAGGGGCATTCACTGTTCAGTGTGCTAACTGTTTTAAATGGAGGCTTATCCCAACAAAGGAGAAATATGAAGAAATACGTGAAAGTATCTTGCAGAAGCCTTTTGTATGTGAAACAGCTCGTGAGTGGCGACCTGATATATCATGTGATGATCCAGCTGACATCTCCCAAGATGGCAGCAGGCTTTGGGCAATTGATAAACCTAATATCGCACAGCCCCCTCTTGGGTGGGAACGGCTTCTAAGGATCAGAGGCGAAGGGAGCACAAAATTTGCTGACGTGTATGTATGGCTTATCATTTTCATTTCTCTTAATTATTTTTTTAAAGAACTTGTCTCTCTTAACAAATATTTCTTCTCAACATGCACGTAGCCTGAAGCTATCAGCTGGCCCCATTGGTATAGTCAGTGGATGTAGTTCTCACTGATTTAGGATCCAATCCTGCCTTCACTGGCCCTCAAGTTTTCCCAAAGAAAAAGGGGAAAGCTATATATGTAACCTACTTTGTATTCTCTTCCATAGTTTTCAAGGCGCCAAGGCAAACCTAGGCGGCAGGGTAGCGCTTAGTCACCTGGTCACTTAGGCGGGCGCCTAGGCATCACTTAATGTCTAAAGGAAAAATAAAATAAAAAGAGGATGGAGCCCTATTTTTGCCATTGAAATAGAAATAACAGAAGGGCAGAGCCCCTATCTTTCTTCCAGAAAAAGAAACAGACCCCTATTTTTTGTTCCAAAAGGAGAGGAGAGGAGGAGGAAAGAAGAGGGGGTGGAGCCCCTATTTTTGTTCCAAAACAAGAAAAAGAAGAAGAAGAATGAAAAGCATACCTTCTACATTCTGTGATAGATTTCCCTTTCTTCTTCAAAGACATACAACTTGGAACCTTGATGAGGATATCTCTTGAACTTGTCTTCGAATATCATATCTCTTAGAACTCATCTTCGAATATTTTATCTATCATAAACCTTAAAAAAATAAGAAATTAATAAAAAACTTATTATAATATGAAAGAAATAAAAATAATGATTCGGTGCATCATGTCTATGTTTATATTATATACTTAAAATATAACGAAATATTAAATATGCAAAAATTACAAGTTATAGACATATCATATGGCGTTTGGGTGAGGCGAGACCCAAAAAGCGCCTACATTCTTATTCTTTTATTTTAAAGGTTCAACTATGAATCTTAAAATGAATATATACAGCTTAGATTGAACTTAGATGCTAAAGTTGTGATTACTTATATTTGCTGTTGACTCTGTGGATATCCCTTTTGGCTAAGATTGTGCAGGATACCCCTCACCTCTCACTTTTCAGGGCATTTATCTAGATCCTGAATCTTGAGCCGTGATTTTGACAAAGTTTAAGTAAAAGAACTTTTTGTTGTGATTATCCCTAAAAAAAGAAAAAAAAAACTGTATTGTAGGGTGTTTTGGTGGTAGGTGAGAAACATGTGAACAACTAGGTGTTGTGATTGTGGTGGGAACTAGATTTTGGCTACCAAGAAGGAAATGGTGATCAGGGAAAAGAGTGAGCTTGTAATTTTATGCTCATTGTTTTCCTAATTTACCTGCATGATGTGAAGGAGCCACTTGATGTGTGTTTACCTGAATAGGAACCAAGCCTTACCAGATGACAGTTTTTGTTTTTCATAACCATATGTCTTGGAATATTGGGACATAATGGATGATCTGGACATCAGATATTCTTTAGAGAGATGTCAACATATCTATATTTTTCCATTTGCAGCAGTTATTGTAAATGTTGCATTTAGTTGATGGTAACATATTACCAATTGCTTCTGATTGTTATAATGGATGGGTTGTTTCTTATTTTTGTTCTGCGACTACCAAATGTATGTGCACTCTGGTTGCTATCATTGCTTGGTGTAATGGTAAAATCGAAGTCTGAAAAGTGTGGCAATGCAGGTTCAAGTCTTAGAATAGGCAATTTGTGCCAAAACATAAATAAATAAATAAATAAATAAATAAAAGAAGAAGAAGAAATGTAAAAGGTTAACTCTGTAACTATTCCACCCCTCCCAATGACTAGGACCAAAATTGGGTAATGGTCTTTAATTTCTGTTGTGTGTTTTCATCCCTTTTGGTTAACACTTGTATATTACTCAGACCTATATGTAATATGTATTACTTAAGGGGCCATTACTTGGTGTAATGTTGTATCCTAGGCTGGCAAGCACGAAAACTTGAATTCGAATCTGAGGGTGGCCACTTTGTGCACAAAATGCCAAAGGTTAGGACCATACCCAGTCTACCCCTCCCAAGAATCTACTATAGCTGGACCAGCAATGGGTAATGGCCTTTTTTTGACCTACCTGGGATTGAATCCTGCCTATATCCTCCCCATCTGCATCTTAAGTTTCCCTAGCAGAAAAATATTAGGAATTTCACTTGACATCTTATAAAGAAATTGAAGTAGTAAGAAATGATGCAAGCACTCATAATTTAGTGATGGATATAGCACTGAACAAGAATGGAGCAACGAAACAGGATTCATGTAGCCGACTCCATATAGTTGGGACAAGGTTTAGATGATGATGATGATGATCTCATAAACAAAATGATGATCTTTGACCCTGATAACTAACTAGTACATTTTGTCATCCTGTGTTCAATTATCATGAACTACTTTTTTTTAATCTTTTGATGACTAATAATGTACAATTTTCTTCCATTGAATGCTTTCAGATATTATGTTTCACCATCAGGAAAGAGACTACGGTCCATGGTGGAGGTCCAGAGGTACATGCATTCAATGCATTTAGTCATTGAAAATGCCTTTTTTTTTTGAAAAATGCCTTTTTCTGTACCTTCCTTCTTGGTTATTTGTTCTTCTTCAGTTCAAGGATAGATTTTAAAACTAATAATATCTGTAGTATATTTTAACTGAAGGTGATAAATAAATATTATTGTGGGGAACTAATGCTTTCCCATCTTTTCTTGACATTTGTTGTACATGTTTCTTATTTGTGCAGATATCTACTTGAACATCCAGAGTATACTGATGCAGGGGTGACAATGGCACAGTTTTCATTCCAAACCCCAAGGCCATTACAGGAAAACTATGTGAGAAAGCGTCCTGCACCTGTGGCACCTTCATATGATGAATCTGATCTTGGGATTTCAAGGCCCATTGAACCTAGGGATGGTGCGTGAGAAAATTAAAACAACTGCCAGAACCTAATAGAGAAGATGATGATTTATTAAAATTTCTTTATTTCTGGTACAGCTTAGTAACACTTTATTGGATTGCTGTTATTCATGAAGTCCATGGTTTTCATAGAAAGGCCACTTAATTGAAAAAAAAAAATTGTTATTGAGTTTATATTTGAATAAAGCCATGTTGAGTTGTGAAATGTGTGTCTGACTTGAGTCAGCCTTAAAACATGGGTAGGGGTTCCATAGCTATAGAGTATACTGGTTTTGGTGCCATCCCGTATCATTTGTTCACTATTCTTGAGACCATCTTTAAATAATTCCCTTGGTACTCTTATTCTTTAATTTATGTCTATCATAGTGTTGTAGCCTTTTCTTTATCTTCTCATGTCTTGAGACTAAAGCAGGGAAGATTTTTCTAAATTGGGCATCTACCTGCAGGGGCAGCATGTTTGTGTAGGGTTAGGTTCCGACCAAGTTGGAATTCAATAAAACCTAAAGATACTAGGAAGTTTACTACTTTTCCTTTTTGGCTTTAAATTGGGATATGATCCTGTTGAGTTTGGGTCAGATTGAAAAGTTTTCCTGTGAACTAGAGTGGCTGACCCAGATTTGAACTGTTTTGGGATGGGAAATTCAGGTGAGTTTTGGTTGTTTGCATCAAGAATGATCCTTCCCATCTCCATCCTGTTATGGTTGGTCCAACTTCACTGTCTGTGCAGCTGTTGCCTGTGTAGGTCATTGCTATTTAATTGCAATCCAACTCATTGCCTCTCTTTTGAGAAACTAGCCACAGTCATCTCATTCTCTAAAAACATGCATTTAATGAGATGGTTGGTCATACCATTTTTATCATAAGAAACTTCTCGTATAATTTTGCAGATTTGAAGAGACTATACCATCCTTGGGCTTTGATAAGTGTTGGAACCTTTTCCTGTTCACTATGGCATTGGTTATATGTTTGCAAGATGCAGAATAGAAACAGAAGGCTAATTTATTATAACATGCTATTCTTCTGCAGTGAATCCCTTATCATGGGCGGGTCCTATTGGTTTGCCAGAGCCAGAATTACAGCTTGGTGGGCCAGGGCTGTCAACCCCTAGCTCTGAGTTTCCTGTATTTGAGCCTGTTGCTCGGCCAGTAAAGAAACGAACAACGAGATTACCATCAAAAAAGATGAGCCGTTGCAATCCAGTGTATAGTAATCAGAAGGTCAAGTCAGAAGACCCAGAAAGATCCCAAAATAATGACTACGATCTTTAAATCTGTAAGTTATGGTTTGTTTTACCTTGTCTCTTTTCGCCCTTACAATATAGATCCAATGTTTTGAGAAAAACAAAAGAAAAATAGTGGGCATATGTTGGGTGCCTTGTTGGTGTACATGGAAACTATATAGTAGGAAAACAACATTGCTTTGGTTCATATATAATGCAAGTTTATTTATTTCTTATCTTTGTTATTGTTAATGATGCTGTTGGTGTTTCATGCTGCAGCCCGCAACATGGCTTCTATTGCAAATCATTTTTTTTTTTGATAAGTGAAATAATATTTAACTACATAAAAATATTACAAAGATAAGGGTCCAACCAGTCAGGAGGATTGGCCCACCAACATACGTCATAAAAAAATGTAGCTTTTTGACTCAAGTATGAGCCGCTATGGTATAGGTTCAAGACTTAGAAACAAACCATACATTTACATCATTTAACTTTCTCATAATAAACAAAATATTGTCTATCCAATAACTAAACTACCGAGGTTTAACGGTCTCCTTTCAGAGCAGAACTATTTGAGAATCTGAGACCAGCAAAATATGGTTCCATCCTTGTTTTAAGGCAAAAAGAAGAGATTCATATACTGCTCCCAATTTAGCTTCTAGAGGCTCTTTTACAAAACCCAGATTTCCACCCGCCACAACAAACGTTTTTGAGTTATCATGAAAACAGAATTCACGAGTTCCTTTTTTATCCGCAGCAACACCACCATCACATTGTATAAGCAAATAATTTTCCTGCCGAGAATTTACATTTAACAGATCATTTGTTTGCTACCAAATGCCTATCTGAAATATCAAAATTTAAAACATTTAAAGTCCTATTGATCTGATTCAGAATCCAAGAATTTCTTTTTATATTCTTGAAAACTTTGTCATTTCTCACCTGCCATATAAAATACCAAGCTATAGCAATCCAGTTTAGAATATTTTTCACAGTTTCCAAATCATTACCAATTTGAAGCACCAAATCCAGGAACTTTGGCTTGTTGCTGGTGATTCTAATGAAGTATTAAGGAGAAGTGAGAAGCAAGGTGGGATTGCTATTGGCAGTAGCAGTAGTCAGAGAGAGTTTGTTGATCTGGTAGATCATTGTAATCTTATTCACTTGAGCTATCATAGGAATTCCTTTACTTGGACCAGCAGGCGAAGTGGTATGGATCATATTCGGGAGCACATTGACAGATTTTTGCAAATCCCAGTTGGAGAGCTGAGTATCCAGAAGTAGGGATGTCAATTTCATGGGAATTTTTGGGTATCCGACCTGTCCCGACCCTAATAGGACCCGTTTATCAAAACCTTATAGGGTTTGGGTTTTGACTTTAGGGGTATCTGATACCCGATACCTGGGATGCATAAATATGAATTATTATATTATATATCATTCACAAATTTATAAAATTTAAGTACTAAGATAATTATTCTATTATTAATATTTTATATTTTTATTTGTATAAATTTATTGGGATTAAAATCATCATTTGATATAAATTTGGATTTGATAAATTGTTTATTTCATTTAGTTATAAAATGCTAATTTTAAATATTATTTCTTTTAATTTTTAGTTGGGATTGTTAATCATATATATTTATTGATTGTTTTGATGAATACAAAAGTTAATAAAATCTATTTTATTTCATTAAATAACACAAAAGGCGAGATGGTTTAGTGGCTTAAAGTAGTGCTAGGAGATTTGACGCTAATATAATTGATCTGGGTTCAAGTCACACTATAACCATTAAGAAACTTTTTTTAATAGAAAACGTTTGGTCAAGGGGTTTAATAGGTTTGGGACAGGACAAATTTGGGAAATTGAGAGGAAAAGTTTGACAGGTTCGGAATTAGGGATACATAGGCAAGTTCGGGAATGGGTAGGGCAATTTGCACGGGTACCCTACCTGTTGCCATTCCTATCTAGAAGCCTTTGTGCTTAATGACATAGCTTATGACTTGGACCATGGACTAGCGATATTGAACCCATACCCCACTGTTCAGAGGGGAGCCCATCCCTTCCGTTCTAAATCCATGTGACTAGCTAACCATTCAGGCTGCTGGAATGTGGTGCAAGAAATTTGGGATATCATGATCAAGCAACCTCCTGATAGCATTGGAAGGGGTGCAAAAGAAACTAAGTGCCAAGCTGGGCTCCGTAGTTGGAATCGAAATCATCTAACCCACCCAACTTGCCTATTTACTTGGCGGGTTGGAAATGGTTTGATCACCCATTGGGTCAATTTAAACAGGTTGGGTTATGGATAACCATTGGGTTAACCACTAATGGTACAAGCAAGTGTGAATTCTTTAGCCATTTTTCTTTAATTTTCTTCATTTGAGTGAAATAATTTATAATTAATGCATTAATTTTCTATTAATTAATAATTAAAATTAGTTTTGACTCGAGTCAACATAGTTTACCCAAATTGACATAAATCCAAATCAACCCAACCCGAGTTCGGACCAGTCTGGCTCAATTCAGTTAGGTTTGAATATGAGCATACCTGATCACCTCGGTTTGATTTGTTTGGGTCGGCCGGTCTAGTTCAAACCAAACCCGGTGTGGTTTGACCCAAATCCGATAATTCGACCTGGATCAGGACTGGTCTAGCCAGAGCCCTAATCCGAACCATCTGGGCTAGTTAACTTGACCCAGTTCGGATTGGTTGGCTTAGACCTAAACCTTTGCACAACCCGATATGGACCAATTCGAGTCAACCCATCACATGCTGAATTGGTCTGATTTGGTTTGATCAGACCAATCGAATCCAAATGGTTCAACCACTCTTGATGTGATTAGCTTGAAGATAAGTCTAGTTAGATAGTTCAAGTTAGACTAACCGATTTGAACCTAAGTGGTTCGGTCAAACTCAAAACCCGAACATAGTCAAATGGCTTCAAGTGATTAATTGCTTTTTATTCTTCTTGTAAAAATAATATGCATGTAATGTGATTTGAACCTTCACCACTTGTGTAAATAATAGCTTCCACCAGTAAACTATGACCAACTTATTTGTCAAAAAGGATTTAGTTTTTACTTATAAGTACATAAATATAAGATAAATGGGTTTGGGCAGGTTGGATTGGGTCAAGGCAGGTTTGGGTTGAATCCAACCCATTTAATTTTATATAACTGGGTCATTAATGGGTTGGCGGGTTAGATGGGTTGGGTTGAAACTTAATCCGAACCAAACCTAACCCAACCCGCCCAATTGCCACTGCTACTTACAATAGCAATATTCGTTAAATGAGATTATGACTTAAAATAGGCATATTCGGGGCTTGCTGAGTGTGGAGTTCAGAAGGGAGGAACTGGTGCCAGAAGGCTTGGCTAGACTAGTTAAGATCAGGGGATTTAAACACAAAGTTTTTTCATCAAACACCTATCCATAGGCGTCAGGCTAACAAAATTTACTGTATTAAGGACAACAATGGTAGGTGGTTAACCTCGAATCCTGCTGTTGAAAGAGCTCTGATTGATAACCTTAAGATGGTGTACCATGCTGAACCAGTCCGCAATATGAAAATGGTAACTTGTCTTATTTGATTATCCTCATCAGCAAACCAGATGATTAGGCTTGATGCTCTCCTCTCGACTGATGAAATTAAGCTAGTAGTCTTTTCATCGGGTGCCCATAAAGCCCTTGGTTCAGATGGATTTCCCGCAATCTTCTTTCAACATTTTTGGGATGTGGTTGGAGGAGAGGTTTCCTAAGTCATCATGGAATGTTTTCAGTTAGCTTGCACTCTGCCTCATCTTAATAAAACCTTTATCCTTCTTATTCCTAAGAAGCAAAGACATTTAGAGGTTAACCACTTTCGTTCAATAAACTTAACTAATGTCTTATATTGTTTTCTTGTGAAATGTTTAGTTAATCATATCAAAGTAGTGATTTCTGACCTTCTTGTAGACTCATTCCAAAGTGCATTTATATAGGGCAGATCTATTTGTCATAATGCCGTAGTGGCTCAAGAGACGATCCACTTCCTCAGGATTAGAAGAAGAGGGAAAGCTATGTTTATGGTGGTTAAGCTTGATATTAATAAAGCTTATGTCTGTTTAGATCGGCATTGTTTGCTTGTGTTGGAAAGTGGCTTCAGTGACCAAGGTACCCTGGTTAGGGTCAAGATCAGAAGAGACTCACCCCTCATATCTGGTGGAATTGCTACCTTGGAAGTCTCTTCAAGGGAGACTTATCCTCCTAAAACAAAGAGAGATGGAGAGAGGGATAGGGGAAAACGAAGGAAGAAAACCAAAGAAGATAAGAGAATTAAGGTTTTGTAGTTCGATGATGCTTATTACAAACCCAAAACTTTATATACAAACCATAAAGGTGCAATCATACCAAATGATCTCAATCATGTGCTGCCGTAACCGTCTTTGACAGTAGATCGTTTGACGTAGCCTTGCTGCTTCTATTCCTTCTAGCAACCTTTTGTATGGGGAGGGAGGCCTTCATGAGCTACACCTGGGTCGTCTTTGGGTTGGGCTGGGCTAGTCCCAATAGTTCCCCCCTTGAGAGGGACCTTGCCCTCAAGGTCCAGGTTAGGAAATCTGTTATGGAGATGTAAGTAGGGCTCCCATGTAGCATCTTTAGGTGGTAGCTCACCCCATCCACCTTGGCTTCTTGTATGACCTGGTGTTCTTGCTACCCAACGAAAGTCAACAATCTTGGTGGGCTTTGTCTCTAAGTCACTTTCTTCTGAGAATTGCGGAAGTGTGGCTAACACACTATTGTGTTGCCCAATGGCCTTCTTGAGGAGGGTAATGTGGATCACTGAGTGAATTTTGGATGCTGTTAGCAGCTGCAAACAATAGGCCACAGGCCCAATTCTTTCTAGAATTTTTATTGGCCCATAGTACCTAGGTATGAGGTTATGCCAAGCCTGTTTGGCACTAAAACATGCTTGTAAGGGTGTAACTTCAAGTAAAAAAAATCACCCACTTGGTATTCTAGTGGGTAGTAGTGGGCATCATACTGGCCTTCATCTTGTGTTGGGCCCTTTCTAGATTGTTCTTCAAAAGCTGAATGACCTCATTCCTAGCCATCAACTAGGTCTCTACCTCTGCTACTTTAGTGGTGCCATATTCGTAGGGAATGATAGATGGGGGATTACGACCATATAAGGCTTTGAAAGGTATCATACCTACTGCCGATTGGAAGGTTGTGTTATACTAGTACT